GCAACGGCAGCGGAGGGGCGGACAAGGCCAGCCCCAGCGAGAACAATGCCGGTGGGGGCAGCCCCTCCAGCGGTTCTGGCGGCAACCCCACCAACACGTCCGGCACCACCCGCCGCTGCGCCGGCCCCGGCAACTCCATGCAGCTGGCCTCACGCAGCGCGGGGGAGCTCGTTGAGAGCCTGAAACTCATGAGCCTCTGTCTCGGCTCCCAGCTTCATGGGAGCACCAAGTACATTATCGATCCACAGAACGGCTTGTCGTTTTCCAGCGTGAAAGTGCAAGAGAAGTCCAGCTGGAAAATGTGCATCAGCTCCACAGGGAACGCAGGGCAGGCCCCTGCTGTGGGCCGCATAAAGTTTTTCTCTGACCATGTGGCAGGCACCACCACTGAATTAGAACGAATAAAGAGCAAGAACCTGAAAAATAACGTGCTCCAGCTACCTCTGTGTGAAAAGACCATCTCTGTGAACATCCAGCGGAACCCTAAGGAGGGGCTGCTGTGCGCCTCCAGCCCGGCCAGCTGCTGCCACGTCATTTGACTGTGGCCCGCTCAGCCTCCAGCACGCTTCCTGCTCAGAGCAGTGAAGACTGGCTCACTTCACTGTTCCTTTCAGTTTTACTCTCTTAAAGTGGGCGTTAGAAGCAATTATTTATTATTTTTTGTTTGTTCGCCTGCCGATGTGACAGTGCATGGTCCTTGTGCATGCTGCTAGACCCTACTTTTCTTTTCCAGCTGAAAAGTCTGTTGTGTAATTTTTACATTTATAATTTTCATGTGGATGATCAGGATTAAATTAAAATGTATATTTGGAACCTAATATAAATGGAGCACTTAGAAATTTGATGTTCTGCACTTAACCTAGAGAAAGGAAAAAATGCTTTTGTTTCCTTGTGAAAAATCTAAATTCCTGTCCTGACCTTCTGTGATATGGAAACTCCGTGCTCTGAGGCACACTCCGTGGTGTCTGAGACAGAACCAAAGCAATAACGTTGTGACGCCAACAGGCCTGGAGTCAGAAGCGCATGCACGCCCAGCCTTGCAAGGCCTGTGCAGAGCAGAGTACAACGAGCGTCTGCACTGAGAACCTTAAAACCATGATTTCAACATCCCCACACCTGTTTGTCTTAAGCTATAGTGTGAAAAAAAGTTTGGGCTCTTAAAATTTAACTGAAAAAGATTTTCTTGTTTTGTAATAGGTGAGATAAAGTACTTAGATTTATAAGGCAGCTTCCCCCATAGTGATAAATTACAACTAGACAATCTTATTTTGTAATGTGATAAAGTGAACTGATGATGTCTTAACTCTACTTATAGAGTGTATGTCTGTCTAACAGAACAAAAAAGATGCTCAGTGTAAATTCCTTCCTGTAGGGCACACCCCAGGGTTTCCTTTAAAACCGTGTAGAGAGAGGAAACTGTCAGACTTAATACGGAAACAAAGGTGCACACAGAGATTGGCAAAGTCAAAACCCTGTAAGTTGAAAAAACTTAATGGGATTTGATTTTTAGGACTTGTCGCTTGTTACTACCATTATTTTACATCCTCTAGTTCAGCTAGCTGTGAAAATTGGCTCATCAAAATCACATAAAAGGGTAAAATTCACACACACAAACAAAAACACAAAATCTGCTTTGTTGGCTTTTAAAAAAAAAAATTTTTTTTTGCTAAGTGTTTTTCACTTTGCCTTCCTGCCAAACAGTAATCAAAGAACTCTTGCTTTAAACTATTCCTATACAAAGACTACTTTTGACCAGATAGTCATCTTTTGTGGCATTTTATCTTATAAACACAGTATCTTGCAGATCGCTAATTTGGAAAGGGGCCAGAGACTACGGTTTCATGCTGTGCCCTGGGGGAGTCTTAAGAGAAATGCTTATTAGCAATGTTGGTGATGAGATGGGGCTGGGCCCCCGGGAGCTCTCCCACATTCATCAGCCTCCCTTCACGTCTCTGAAGTGACCGCCACCTGGCCCGCAGAGTGGGCAGAGCGCCACGGACAGCACGCCATGGGCCACGCTTTCTCCAAGCACACACCGACTCTGCTACTTTAGGGTACCATGTATTTTACTCAGAACTCTGAATTCACAGTATACCTACTAAACTAAGTGGAGATGATACTTAAAATACCTATTTTACTTTCTAGACCTAGGCTAGATACGTTTTAAGCTACAGCTCTAGTTCATTGTGATATTTATAACTGAAAGCTACGAGAATAGACGTGTGGGTGAAGCCATAGAACATATTTGCTTGAAATTCTTGAGCAGGGATCTTAAACAGGGCCAGAAATAAGATGTGTGGTTCACATAGATAGTGAGCGTAACATCTGTATTAAACGTAGGAGAGAAGTTTATAAAGGGCATTGGCAATAAACTCTTTGTTGCAGCTGTTTTCCAAGTAATGTAAATACTTTTTCCTGTGATTATGTAAAGCCTTGGAATGGCACCTTTTAACTAACCCATATGTGTTTGGTTTTCAATTCAGATTCAGTTTTTTATATTCAGATGTATATATGGTGCTCACTTTAGGATCAGCAGTGTTGACCATTTATGCTGCATAGCTGTATTATAGCCTTATTAGTTGTGTGTGGTTGGTTGACCCTCTGGGTATACAAATGTTAGTCTGAGTGGCGTCTTCCTCATTTGTTCATTAAGTGAATGATTGTGCATGTGTTGTATGTCATAGTATGTCGTCACATAAAAGGGAGGGAGCGAATAACCATTACATTAATATTGGACCAAACTACTTACTTGCTCTAAACAGTTTCTTGTACCCCTTAACCTGTCTTCAGAAGTTGCATATAGTTACAGTAGTGTGTAAATTAAATATTGTGGAAAAACAATTAGTCTTGTATTTTTCTGTATGTGTGTGTGTGTATATATATATACATATATGTGTGTGTATATATATATAAATATAAAATTATGTACTTCTGGCAGTTCTATCTGTATTTAAAGATGCGACAATCTTGACACCGATTTTCAGAACAGCTGTGAGAACCTATCAGAGCTATCCCTACCAAGTAAGAGTTCCTGTGTTAAGAGGGTACAGAATTATCAGCTGAGTTGGTCGGTTGCTTCCACTGCTGGTTGATTTTCCTCATTGTGTAAACATTGACAGGTATGTGACAAATGGGAAAAAGAATCCAAATAATAAAGAGTATATTGGTGTTCAGCAATATAAATCGTGTTCCCTGTATTTCTTCTCATGAATTCAGCTTTGGGTTGTTGCAGCTGGGGTTTGACCCAACTTTCCACGCTGCACACCTGCAACCACCAGATGTGACTGAAAAATACAGTCCTGGCTGTTCTTGCTTTAAACTCACGAGCGCAGGTCTCAGGTGGACGCCGGGACTGCCCATTAATTATACTGTGTTTCCCAAATTCGTCTGTTTTTCTCATTCGGCTGCTCGCCATGCTCCCTAGTAATTGAATCAAAGCCATTAGAACTGCCACAAGCTCCCACTTCTACCTTCCTACCATTGCATGTATTTCTGTCCTGCCCTAAACCTCCTAACCTAAACTTATAGAGAGTAGAGAGATACCCATTTTCCCTTTCCTCTCAACTCCCCAACCCATCCTCACCCCCAGACAACCACTAATCCAGTGATGAATTTTAATGCCCTGATCACTCATAAACCACCTGTTTTTCAGGACCCCATTTCTACCTTAGTAGTCTTCACACCACCAACTCCTCTTTCTCACAGCCTCTAAATTTGAAATGCCCCAAGGTCGTTCTGCTTCCCTTTTCTAGCTGCACTCAAACTTCCATTCAGTCTAACAGCTATGTGCTGAGAGAACCCAATAATAGGCTTAACTCCTATTCTCTTGTCTTCAAGCCTTACTCTCCCAAATCTTTCCTGTCTCATAAATGGCAACTTCAAACCTTCATTAGTTTTGCACAATTCAGAATCTTGGCGTGATCTTTCACCTCAATGTCCAAACCATCAGTGAATCTTACTATTCAAGAATTGACCCTTCAGGGCCACCACTGTTAACACTTGGTCCATGACCCCATCATCACTCATGTGGACAGCTGCAAATGCCTAGCAGAGGCCTCCCTGCGTTTGCTTGGCCTCTCTTCTCCACGCAGCACTCAGTGATGTGTGTAAAACTAAATCATGTTTTGAAAGGTATACTTTCAGATACTTGGGGATTTTCTACATAAGTTTTTCTGACTAGTTTCTAGTTGTTTGGGTCAGAAATTATACTTTGTATAATTTAAATCATTTAAAACTTCTATTAGGACCCAACTTGTTTTATGGCTCAGATAATTGCCTATCTCGGTGAATGTTTTGTGACTGCTTGAAGTGTTCCTGTTGGTGAAATGTTCTATACCCATCAGTTCAAGTCATTAATGTTATTCAAGTCTTCTATATCCTTACTGATTTTCTGTCTCATATCAGTTATTGAGAGAGGGCTGTTAGGGATTTGCCTAGTTTTAGTTTTAGTAGCTTTGCTTCATGAAATTTGATGATCTGTTGTTAGGTACGTACACATTTTAGGAGTTATGTTCTCTTATCGGTTTTGAAGTGTTGCTCTTTGTCCCTAGGTCATTATTCTTTGTCCTGAAAGCTACTTTGTATGATACTGGTTTTATGGGGTTGGTTACCAGGGCAGGGAGGGCCTTTTTCTCACTGGTGATGGACTGGGGTGTGTGGTTTTCCTGTTAGCCGGGGTACTCAGCAACAGGAAGGTGAGAAGCAAGGACCAGGTTCCAGCGGCCCTGTAGCAGAATGCTGAACAGTTAACCAGCGGGCACTTTGGTGGTGCAGACATGTATACATACCTCCCTTTATACAGCTTGCAGGCTAGAAAAACGGAAACCAAATGTCCCCACCCTAATGGAAATTAAAGCAGCACTTGGAGTGACTTCACCCCTCCCAACCCCAGAATGCAAAGCCAAAAGCTGTACTACAGGCCTTGTCCTTTACACATGGAGTTTTCGCCAACCCCAAGATCTGCTGTCTAGTTATTGTAAGCCAATTAATATAACCAGGTTGGGTAAAGCAGAGCAAGAACTTTATTGCTTCACCTGCAATGGGAAAAAAAGGTGGGTTGGGAGGTGAGGGGACTTCCATTTGGGATTGGGAGAGGGAGCTACTTTTAAAGCAAACAGGGGCCATGGTTTTCTTTGGGGTGGAGCCCTACATGAGCCTCTTTTTACATGCTTGCGCCTCAGCTAGGCTGTTCAGATTACAGCTGGTTTTCTGCATTTGACCTTTAAATAGCAGCTCCTGAAAAAGATTCCACCTAGGAAAGAAAAATCACTGGAATAACAGTTTTGCAGTGGAGAAACGTTTGCAGGGGATAACCGAGTCAGGTAAGTACAGATGGGGAGGCCATCTTTGCTATGGTAAGGTGACTGCTTTCTAGGACCTGCCTGACTGCCTGCCATCTTGGGGTGTCTCTGCCTGTCCACTGATGGGCAGTTTGCTCTAGCAGCTGCTCACAACTATAAATGGCCCTATGACCCCTGGCACTTGGGCCGCAGCTAAAGGAAGGACACCAGTCAGGATTTGCATTAATAACCCAAATCAACTCCACCTTGTGGCTGACTTCCATCTAAAGTGTGTGTCCAGATTTTTGCCAGGCTTCTAACACACATACATTGAAGTACCATTTTCAGGTATTAATTCCTAAGAGGCCATAAGCCTCTTGGCGGCTAAGAGCCACTTGTTCCCCAATCCTAATTTCCTCCCAGACAGCAGGTCCCAAAGGAATGACCAGCCCAGGTTAGCTTCAACACTCTGGAATTCTTTGGGAAATGTGAGACTGGATCTAGGCCCCTGAGTCCAAATGGTCTCTCATTGGGAGCTATAGTCAGCTGTCCCCCCGGTCTCATCTGCACATCTGCCATCCCTTAGGACCAGAGTGTCATGGAAATTGAATTGTTCAGGTGTGAGTTAGGTAACTAGATGCATATATATATGTAAGTTCGCCACTGTGGTTTGAAGTGGAGCTTGTAGCCCAGTGCCTTAATATTTCCTTGCCCAGTCCTTTAGTACAGCACAACGCTCTGTCCTAGCAGGGCCGCGGGATCTGTAAACCAACTGGGTAATTAGAACCTGAGTCCCAGGACCCTCTTTTTGTTTACGTTGGCCTTCCTCCTCCTTGTGAATTTCCTGCTGGAAGAAGGTCAAGAGCTGCAGGGGTTAAGATGAGGAGAGGGCCTGGGGACGGTGGCATACACAAACCATCCTGGCACAGGAGGGCCTGTGGAGAGTGAGCCACACGGCTGTGAGAACTTGTGGAAGTCACCGGAACCCTACATGCTGTAATGTCTTTGTCTATAAAATGGGGACAAATGAGGAAACTGATTCCCAGAGCATATGTGAAGGTGAATAGCAGCCCCTGGCCTGCAGCTGCATGTCCCTAACCCAGTTGCTTCTTGTTTTCTCACCAAAGCCACTAAGAAAAAGATTTGTTAACAAGTCTGAGCTTTCGAGCTGCTGGTGGGGAGTGTGACAGTGTGAACCCCAGGAGGAAGAGAACACGCCACCACCCCACCCCACACCTACCCATCTGGAGGCTGCAAGCCTCGGGGCTGGGCTTTGCCAGCAGAGGCCCAGGTCTGACCATGGGGTGTTCTGGGAACTCTGTGGACCGCTGGCTCGGGAACTTCCATGCTCTGGAGAGAGGTGGAGCATGTGTGGGTTGTGACAGCCCAATCACCCACAGGAGTCCCCAATAAATGTCAGTGACACAGCTGGTTGTGTTGGAGAACATAATTGGTCTGAGAAGTGAATCACACTTGGGGCCAAGATGCACTGGGGTCAAGGTCCACTGCCAATCTGTGGATTCTGTGACAGTTTGTTTTTCCTGGCTTGAGGGAGGGAAGTTAAGGGGGAGTGTGATAGTTGGGGAGACACCTATCCCTGGGCGCCACACAGTGGGACAAAGAGCAGAGCTCATGGCACAGCCCGCCCAGCAGCCTTGGGGTGCACAGAACCACCGGCAACGCAGAGGCAGCCTCTCCCAGTTTCCTGCCGCTGCAGCCCAGCAGTCTCCCCGGGCCCTCCCAGCAGGGGCAAGGTGGTGTGGGGAGCGGGGCTGGCATCACCTCCTTCTAGCTCTGGCTTCTCAGAGGCTGCTGAGGTTCTTTCCAGGCCTCCTTGAACTTTTGGAGACTGGGCTGGGAGTTCAGAGAGGCTCTTAGTCTCCTCTCGTTTACCAGTGTGGACGAAGACCTTCACACCCGAGAAATGAGGCCTGCAGCCCTTTCTAGCTGTGCCCTGCTGGTTGGAGACCCCGAGGCTGTCACCACTGCACCGTTTCCCTATCTTAGCCAGGCTAGGGCTGGCCCTCCAGAGGCCCCATCTGTTCAAGGGGGGCAGTGCCTCCAGCCCGTGTCAACTGTGTGTGTGAGAAAGTGAGCTAGGAACAAGGAGAGAGGATTTCAGTCAGCAGGAGTCCTCAGGGGTGTCCAGGAGGGGAGTAGTGGGTGGGTCCCCATGAGGGCCTGAGGTAGCATAACCAGAGCGAGTGGGGTCACAAGGACCCCATGGCCAGCAGGGTAGTGGTGTGGGTTGGGTCTGAGGGCTGAATGGAGGCCAGAAACAAGAGTAACAGGCAAGTAGATGGGCAGGAGTCAGAGGAGGATGACCTGATGGGCAGGGAGCCGGCTGAGTGAATGGTGCCAGGTGGAGAACGACCAGGGGCTTGAAGAGCACCCTCTACGATGCGTGAGGTCAGGTGCAGGTGGCATGGTGGGACAGCATCATCCTAGATGCCTCCCAAATCGCTTCAGATACTAAGGGTATACAAAAGGTGGGCCATGAAGGGCACCTCCTTTCCTCCCAGCCCTTCTCCTGGGCACTTGCCTCATGCTAGATGCCCCTACTGGATCACTGGATACAAAGAACTTAGGGGCCTAGCAGTCTTCCCTCTTGACACAGCCTGACTGATTCCCATATCCCTCCACTCCCTCCCTGTGGCCCGGTGCCCAGGGCCTGGTCCCAGGGGAGGTGGGTCCTGGGTGTCCATGCTGACCAGGGCTTCCATTTCCCTGTCATGGGGCTTAGTCCTGGTTGGATGGTGTGATTCTGCCTTGGTCAGACTGATGAAGGGCAGGGGGAGGCTTCTGGGAAGGCCACAAGCACAGAGAACCCCAGCTGGGTGCTGGCACCTCATGGTGTAAGACCAGTCTGGAGACAGGTGTTGAGCCTCAGAGGGAGACGAGCTGATCACCCAATTGTATTCCTGGGACTGGACCCCCGGCTTGACTGTAGGGGAGAGGAAAAGCTGGGTCCAGGGATTCCATCCAAACCTTTTCTTTTCCCAGAAACATCGGCCCCCAGGCTGGGGTCAGGAGGCAGATCTAAGGGCTCAGGGCTCAAATTGTGATGGTGGCAAGGAGGCACACAAGCATGTTCTAGAAAGACTGTCAAGCACTGAACCACCACTGAAAAGTTGTGCCATGGAGTGCCTCAGACCAAACAGGGCAGGGCAAAGCCAATTTAAACATGCCCACACTGGCAAATATGGTGGTAGTCTAGCAGGACCAACTGAATCACCAAGAGGAGGCTGCTAGAAGAGTTGGGGCTTCCAGAAACATGACATGTGGACCACTGAGGCCATTCCATCCTGACGTGGAGGAGGGTATTAAGGTGCCAGACCCCTGCGTGAAGGAGACAGGTCTGGAAGCTGAGGCCCCTCAGTCCCTCCCCACCTTCCCCCAATGCCGAGGCACCTGCAGCTTTCAGGGAGAAGGGCCCCTGGTCTGTGGTGCCCCGGCTGTGAGGGACATGGGCCCTGGTGGGGAGGGGCTGGCTGTTTCATGGGCTGAATGTTAAGCACGAGAGAAGGAAGCCAGGTTGACCCTTGAGGGGTGGTTTTCAAAGCTAGACCACCGCCAGGGGAGCAGCCAAGGGCCCCAGGGTCTGCACCCTGGTGGGCTGGATACCACTGGCCCCTGTGGGCTATTGTTCTGTGAATGAGGTGCCTACCTAAGGGAGCGGCCCCTGGGCAAAGCCAAGCCTCATCCCTCTTGGAGGCAGGTGCTCCATGGCAGCTGGCCCCTAGGCCCGGAGCCGAGTGCAGGCAAGCCATCCCAGCAGCCCCCTAGGGGTAGGCTCCAGGGGCAGCACAACCTCTGAAAATGGCCTGGGCCTTGGAAGTGGCACCCAGGTGCACAGCCTCAAGCCAAGCCCTCCTCAGCTCCACCTTTCACGACGCAGCCCAGGGCTCTATTCAGAGCAGAGTGAGCCATCTGTGTGTGTGTGGGGGGGGAATCAAGAGCTGCAAGTCATCTTTAAGAGCTCGGTTCTGTTGCAAGTCATCTTTAAGAGCTCGGTTCTGTTGATAAAGAGCCTGTAACATACTGGAAAACAGAACCAGGAAGAGGTATTTAGAGTCATCGGGTATTGGAAATACAGCCTCAGCTCAGTGGAGGCTCAGCAGGAAGGCCCCTCAGAATGGCTCTGGTGACAGTGCAGTGGGCGCACCTCGACCTGCCCCTCTACCCCAGGGGTCCTGGGCCATGGCGGGCTGGGTGCGGTGGCCCCTGCGAGGGCAACGAGGAGAGCTGGTGGTTCATCGGCGGGTGCACGAGGCTCAGGGCAGCAGGAGTCCTGCAACAGGCCAGGCAGCTGGAGTGGGCGCGGGGCTTGGGCAGAAACCCGGCAGGAACAGGACAGGGTGAGGGGACAGCCAAAAGCTGGGTCCAGCTGCCCCTTGCCCGAGCAGGGACACTGCGGAGGGAGGCGGTGCCGGCCCCACAGGAGCCGCCTCATCGGGCCAAGCGCCGTGTCTGGGCGCAGGAGCCACGAGGCAGCCCCTCTGCCTGAGCCCGGGCAGCCCGGGCACTCAGGTCGCCCTCTGCTTCTCGCCTTCCCGTGGTTCCTCCTTCAGGTTCTCAGCCACGAGCTTCATTTGCTGTTGAGAGAACACAGGGCCGGGGTGAGTGGTGCGAGTCCAGCGGGCCGTGGGCGACCGTGCTCTTGGGGGTCTGGCACAGCACACGCTGCCCTGAGAGCCTGGCCCTGCAGCTTCCTGGAGTGCAGAGGCCCCGTTTCTGCCCCTGACACGGTAGGAAACAGCGGACGTGGGTGGAAAGAGCCTTGTGTTCCGTGAGGGCGTTCAAAGACGCTGAAAGAGCAGCAGCTGGAATCTCTTCTCCCTGGACCTCGGGGCTAAGGGGAGGTGGAAGGTCAGAGCAGGGGGTCTGGAGCCCTGACTCGGGGCCAAGTCCTTGCTCTGCCCCCTAAGCCAAGTGACCTCGGCAACGTGACTCCTCTGCGCCTGCCTTCCCACCCCTGCAGGGGGAGCAACGGGGCACCGTGCAGGTGGCGGTGGGGCTGCTCGGCGGGACGTCCCTGACCCAGAGCAGATGCTCCAGACCCGCAGACATCCTAGCAGCCCTCTGTCCCCACAGCCAGAGGAATGCCCCCCGCCAAGCCGCCCGGGACAGCCTATGAAGTCACCCCCGGGGCAAGGGCAGGAAGGAGATCCATCTCCCCAGACTCAGGTGTCGCCTGTGCCCGAGGGTCAAGGCAGCCTTGGGGGCTGGGGTGGAGATGGTGGGGAGACCCCTGCTTCCAGTGCTGGGGCCGCACCTCCCGTCCTTAGCCAGCCCTCAGGTCCCAGACACCTCTGTCCTCTGGGTGCTGGAAAACATGACCACAGCTCTGCCCTTCTGTTTGAATAAATGAGTAACTACTTTGGAATGTGGCTTAAGATACACGTACAGACTTGATAAGGGCTATTTGCTTATGAGAAAAACAAAGCTCTGAGCACAAATACTGCGCAAACCGTAACGAGGACGAAAGGGCCCTCGCTGGTCAGAGTCTGGCAGCACTGCTTCCCCGGCGTTTCACCTGGCAGGAAAATCAATGGGTTTTGATCCAATTGGTTTTGATCCAAAAGGCGGCTTTGGGGCTCCCTATGAGGTGCAAGTTGCTCTCCTATGTACATGGCTACGGGTACCTAGCTGCACCTCTGGCTGCAAGCAACAGCACACTCCCCCCAGCTTTCAGGGAGAAGAGTCCCCTCACACACTGGAGGGGGAAGCCTCGGCCTCCTGCTTCACCCCATCTCCCATCTGACAGGTCCTTGAGATCTCTGTTATCTCGAGAGACCCCATTTTACTTGGTGCAGTTCTCATCTGTTCTGAGCCTGGTCTGTCTTGCACAGGGCGGCTCAGAGGTGGGCTCCATAGGCTGCCGCCCTCTCTGGGTGAGGGAGGGGCCTGCCTGGCTCTCCGTCTTCCGCAAGGATGGGGGACGGCTTTCGATGAGGTGGGGACTGGTGGGAGGGTGGGGACGGGCTCCTCCTACAGGACACAGCCGCCCGGAGCAGGGGTGGACAGGGGGGTGGAGGTGGGCCCCAACCAGCCCGTCTGAATGACCCACAGCTGGAGTGTTTACGTAACCTTCGGCCTGACTGGGGTGGAGTCAGCTTATTTATTTCACCTGGAGCAGCAGACATGCCCTGCCACGTGGGCGTCTCCCCAGAAGCTGTTTTCCGCGCCAGGTACTGCCTGTCCTGTCACAGGCCCGCTTCATCACCTGTCACTGAGGTAAACTAGCCCCACACAGAAAACAGCCGCGTCAGCCCCCACTCACTGCAGACTCTTCTAGTTGGTGTCATTTAAAACTCATGAGACCTTTGAAAATGTCTTTTTATGAGAGAGAAGAGAGAAAGGAGATGAATCTATTTCCTGACTTAATAATTAACTCTAAGAAATTAAAAGCTACATACATTTAACTAAGCTAGAACATGATGAGGAGGAAAGGGCCCTAGCTTGTCACAGAATCTTCCAGCACTGCTTCCCCAGCATTTCACCTCGGGAGGAAAGTCAATGGATTTTGATCAAATTGATTTTGATCCAAAAGGAGGCTCTGAGGCTCTTTGTGAGGTGCAAGTTGCTCCCCTATTTACATGGCTGTGGTTGGGAGCCCCTGATGTCTGGAGAGGGACTGCAGCGCTCCCCAGAGGATGGGGAGGGTCTGATGGGCCCTCTCCTCTGAAACACCCAGCCCTGATTGACTTCTGGAGATGCCCCTTCTCTCAGGCCCATGGCTGGGGGCTTCACCCAGGCTGGGGGACGGGGGGTGCTCAGACCCTCCTGCCCCCCTCAGGGCGGCTCCTAAAAGCCGGGGATGTCTGGAGGCTGTGGGGCGTCAGCACAGAGCTGCACTGCTGGTAGCAAAGGTAGAAACAATGACCTGATGCCAGTATGCACAGGGCAGGGTCACTGGCCACCCAGGGAGACAAAGTGAAGTCCAGAGACCTCAGTGGGACTTCTCAGGCTTTAATACTCTTTCGGGCAACCAGGCACACCAGGCAGGGAAGCTGGCATGCAAGGAGGAAGGCAACCGAGCCCCTGAACTCCCGCCAATCTTTGGGCTTTCTTGGTCTCACACAGCGCTGCCTCACCTCAGAGTGGTCCTCTCATCAGAGTGGGCCTCGTAATGACGCTGCCCTTTTAACTCAGCCTCTCGTCACAGGTGTGAGCCTTTACACATGCGCACTCCTGCGCTCTCTGGCCAGGAGTCCACAATCAAAGGCACACGTGCCTGTGTCCACACCCCCAGCCCTGGGCATCCACACTAGTGGCAGGAGGGCATAAAAGAGTCCATTTACTCTAGAAATGCTCAAGGACCCCACAACCTCTTGTGCCTCAGGCCCAACAAACCTTCGGTTGCTTGGCCACATGGAATCCTGAGACCTTGTTAGACTCAAATCCCTCCCTGAGGTGCTAATACAGGGAGGTCCTAGGACTCAGAATTTTTAACAAGACCTAGAAGTTTCTGCACAGCCACCCCAGTTTGGGGAGTCTGATTTGTTGCCTGTCCTTCACAAGCAAGCTGGAGTGGCAGGAGGCGGTGGGAGATCCCTGTCAGGCCACACGGTGGGCTCCTGCCAGGAGCGCTGGGGTGAAGTAGGTCTGCACTGTCCCACCAGGATCAGGCTGCCTCTTCAGCAACCCTGGCTGGGATATGGGTGGTTAGGAGGGAGCAGTATTATCCCTTTAGAAAAAAAAATCTAATGTGGTTTCTCCTCTTTTAATTCCTGCAGTCCAATCATACTATTTTCCTTCAATGTTTATTGTTTTAAATGTTCTTTTCTAGTAATACCTAATCTCCAGAGAGCAAACTGACATTACGCAGGCAGGCACGCACGCCAGGGTCCCCAACAGCACGGGCAGCCTCAGTGTTTCTAAATACGTGGGGAGAGCCCCACGACTTCAAGCCTGCAGCAGCAGCCAGAGGGATTATAATTCATCTGATAATCTCAGCATGATTAAGAGGAACAATGAAGCCTCCTTTCTTATGGGGATGTAAATGAGACATATTCAAGTTCTAAAGATCAGCATCATCAGGTAGATGGCCAAATTATCAGCTCAGTTCCTGCTGGAAATGCATATTTCTTCAAGAAGATTAAAAACCCAGCTTCTAGAAAGCTCCAAGACCTGATGGTCAGGCCTGGCTCAGCCAACCAATGAGAAGCCAGTGCCCACGAGTTCATTAACTGCAATAACCTGAACCCAGCTGACCCCAGGCAGAGAAAATATCAGTTTGACTTAAAAAAAGAATTTTTTTAACATCTACTTCTTAAATAAACCTTTGAACCCTGAGTTTCAAAGCAAAACTTTCAAAAGCAGAAATGAAAGGCACATTGAGAAAAAACTTCATAGATAGTTTAAGAATGCAGATTACTTGCAACAGAGGTGAGGCGCCCACGGAAGCCAGAGGCTTGCTTTCCAACCATCTGCAGGCATGAAGTTACTCGGAGGCTTCTGGAACAGAGCCAAGTGCGTCTGATTCTCTATGGCTGTGTCTCAGACGTGGGCTGTGAGTCATTACACCCCCGCAGCGCTACGGTGAGGAAGCCCCCACAGGTGACTGAGAGGCTAGCAAGTGACCACACTGATGCGAGGGTGTCATCCTCCCTGCATTTGGGAAACAGTATTAGGTACAAAGAGCCCTCATCTGAGCAGCACATCGCCTCTGCCCCACTCCATCAGTGGGTACTGACGCTTCCAAGTTATGGCCACCCTAAATGTGATCCTTTCCATTCATCCAAATACCTGTGAAAGCAGCACTTAGTGTAATAGGCCCTTTTGGGGCACCCTGGGCTTCGGTATATGCTGACACGCTCCATTCTAGAGGCTTCTCACAGGTGGTTTCTCACAGGACTCAGGCAGGTGTGCTGGGGTGCCAGCCTGGGGCTTCATGTGTGGTCCTCAGTCCCAGCTTCTTGTGACTCTTGGCTTCTTACCTCCCACTGCCCTTCTTCCTGCATTTCTAATTGTGCTTGAACATGAAAACCACGTTTTCCCTCCAGCTTTGTTGGCATGACTTTTAATGTCTTTAACTTAAAAGTACCAATCCTTATACCTCATTACAAGACACTGGCACTGTTCTAAACTGCACATATACAAACTCCTCATAACCACTCTAGAGAGACATACTATGTTCCTCACTTTAAAGATGAAGCTGAGGGCCTCCCTGGTGGCACAAGGTGTTAAAGCACCACACTATGAAGCAATCTGCAGCCTCAGCAGCATGAGTTCAATCGCCGGCCAGGGAGAAACCCACATGGTGCAGCAGACCTCTCCTGTCTCGCCTGCTGCTCCCCTCAGCAGTGTATTTCAGTCAGTCTGCCTGTTCTGTTCTTCATTCTGTGGTGAATTCTCTGACCCTCGCATCGCTGGCCTGCACCCCAGCTCTTGTATGCATAAACAGATAAATCTTTTAAAAAAAAAAGATGAAGCTGAGGCACAGGGAGGTTGAGAAACCTGCTGTAGGGTAAAGAAAATATCAGGCTTTTCTGCCCTTCCGCCATCAGGATAGATGATGGATCCTTGTCCTGAATGCATGCCTGATGGCGGGCACCTGGAGTAGGGTGTGGGCATAGGTAGATGGGATTCA